GAGCGAGAGGCAGATGCGGAGGTTGTTGTGATGCATTCGGCGTCTCTTGCGCGCGCAGGCTGTGGTCCGCAGGGAACATGGCGGGCAGCAGGCGTCGGCTTTGCGCAGGGATTGCAGAGGGGGTGCACGGGTAGTCAGAGGGAGCCAGGGGTGGTCGGCCTCGCCTTGTCGCTTCGGGCGTCGGCTTTGGCAGGGGGCGGCGGCTTCGGGTTGGCGAGGCGCACTGCGAGGCCGACTTTGCAGGCGGGAGACATGGAGGCAGGGGCGTCGGCTTTGCAGACAACAGACGTAGGTCGGAGGCCTTGCAGACGAAGGAAGCAACGGTTGAGTTCGTAGCGTCTCGTCGCTCCGGGCAGAGGGCGGCGCCGGTTGGGCGCGGTGGCTACGAGGGCAGCGCTGGGCGCGGCAGGGCATCAGGCAGAGGCGGGGCAGAGGCGAGCGTCAGCTTTGCACAGCCTTGCAGCGAGATTCGCGGGCAGAGGAAGAATGGGCGGCTTGGAGGCGACGACTTTCGGCTCGCATCCTATGTGTTCGATGGAATGCCTGCAAGGAAAGAGAGGGGAAAGAGGAAGAGAGAGAGATGGGGTGCTGGGCCACTGGCAGGTGGGGTCCAGGGTGCTTGGGCCCACTGATCAGAGAGGTACAGGGATAGGGGGAGGTGAGGAAAATTTCTTCCCAGGGATTTTAAGAGAGGGCTGAGGGTTTGACGAATTTTTTTTGGAATGGCTACATTGCTCAAAAGCATGCGCCATTTTTACTGGAAGTTACTGTAGTGGTGAACTCCATTTGGTGAACTTTTGAGATTTTTCTCATGTGCAGTTATTTTTTGAAAATTCAAACAAGTTTCCTTCTCTTATTCCAATTTAAATTAATTTTGGTTGCCTTCATCTTTTTAATTGAGATGCAAAAGCTGAGTTATAACTAATTAAATTTGTTGTTTATTATTCTCATCATTAATCTTATTACCTTTTTTTCTCTAATTTAATTTATATATGCAAAATGAAATGATGCATAGAAGATCCAAAAACATCCAAAACAAATTTTCACCACAATAATAAATGAATTTTTTTTCATTATATTGAATTTCCAAGTTTCTACAATTTGGGTTAGTTACATGTATGGACGTGCACTAAGAGGGCCATGTTCCTAGACATTTGCCTATATGCATGTGAGGCTATATGCGTAAGTTCGACTGACAGGGTTGTTGGGTCCTTTAAGGTGAGGGGGGTGTACGTAACATCATGGGCCAATTTGGATATCGTCTAGAAGACATTGCTTATGGAGAGGTTCTGATATAAATTCTAGTAACAAATCCTTGGTTCTTTGGGATAGAGTTTGTCAGCTGAAGTCTTAAGGAGGTTTAGGAGTAATTGATCTCAGATTTCAGAATAATGCTTTGTGGATGAAAAATCTCCATCAGATTTATAATAGGCATACTGTTCGTTTGGTAAGTTTGATATGGTCTACTTACTATAATGGCAAAGTCCCACATGCTTTGTCTTTAAAAGATCCTTTTGGTGGAGAGATGTTTTACAATTTGTGGACAATTTTAGAGGTTTATCAAAGTGCGCAGCGGGTGATGGTGGGACCTGACTGTTTTGGAATGATAAACTTAGATCAACACTCTATCCCAGGGCACATTCTTTTGCAAGAAATCATAAGGACTCAGTTCATCAGACTTCCACAAAGGATCTGTCTCAAATCTTTTTGCTCCCAATGACAGAGTAGGCTTATCAACAATTTCTTGCAATGCAAGCTGCAGATCCTTTGGATCAGCTCTCAGATGACTGCCATATGGTCTTATGCTAGGGTTAATGATAGATTCTCCTCTCAGAAAGATTAAGCCATAATCTTTATGCATATACAATCTCTAATTATTTAAATTGGATCTCGAAGAGCAAATGTACTATGAAAGTCAAGGTTTTTGGTTGGCTTCTTTTGATTGATCGATTAAATACTCGAGATAAGCTTGATAGAAAGCATTGTGCCCCTGATGGAAGTGATCTTACTTGTGTGATTTGTTCATCCGGAGCTAGGGAAACTCTGCAACATTTGTTCTTCCATTGCACTTTCAGTTCGCAATGCTAGGCGCAATTTGGTTTAGTTTGGGACTTATATTTATTCTTTGAAGATATGTTACAACATGCAAGAGGTTCTTATTGATCATCTCATTTTGTGGAGAAGATTTTATATGCGGCTTGGAATATTTGGAAGCAGCGAAGTAATTGGCTATATTTTTGATAATGTGCCATCCTCAGTCTCCTCTTGGATGACATTCTTTAAGAATGATCTGTCGCTTCTTGTTTTTTTTTTAAATGCAGATGAGAGATCAACATTTATTTCCTGGTTAAACCAGTTGTAAAACTTTTTATTTTATTTTCTTAATATATAATTTTACTTTGGGGGAGGGGGGTTCCCTCACAGTGCTTTCCCTCAAAAATTAGGATATGGTCTGTGTGGCTCATAAGAGCTGGTCTGTGTGGTTCATGAGAGCTGTGTATGCATGTTTAGTACCACATTGCTAGTTTAGTAAGAGTGAAACAACTTATAAGGTCTTGTATCTCCAACCATATCACTCGCGGGCTAACCCTTCTACACGAAGCGAGGACGAAAGTGCAATGGGGTGGTATGTGTAAGTGGGCCTACTCATCGGTTGAGTTGGGCTGTGAGTTTGTAGAGGGCGGGCCATTACATTTGGCATGCCTTGACGAGGCAGTTTCGTCAAGAATCAGTGAAATTTCGTCACAAGGACATAATCGCAGAAGATCTGTTCCTCTGTGTTTTTTTTCACTAGATCCACTTGTTTCACTCTTAGGCCGAGGTTAGTTCCAAAATTTTTCTTTAAATTTCTAACTTTTCCATCACATTAAAACTTTCCTACACACACAAACTTCCAACTATTCCATCACATTATTTCAATTTCAACCAAACTTCCAATTTTGGCGTAAACTAAACACACCCTTAAAAAAATGAGGATCCAGTAGTGCTTTGTTTGACTCTTACTCCACCAGATAAGGATTCCAAAGTGGAGTCCTGGCAAACAGATTCTTTGCTCAAAATGTACACTTACCTACAACCATTTATACCTAGACACTTGTTGGGGGTTAGGAGTACACCCCTGGCGCATAATACCCTCCACCTTCAGAGGGGAGTGCAGCGCCAGGAAGGCTAGGGCAGAGGCCATGTGGTCAACCATGGGGCCTACTACAAGGGATGCCCAAAAAGGGTTTCCTATGCCAGCCTTTGGCTTCGAAAGATAATGCACAAGGATAGACTACAACAGGAAAACTAAGACCATGTTTAGATGGGACTAAAACTTTTAAGTCCCTATCATATCGAATGTTTGGATACTAATTGTAAATATTAAATGTAGACTATTATAAAACCCATCCATAATCTTGGAATAATTCGTGAGACGAATCCATTGAGCTTAATTAATCCATGATTAGCCTATGTGATGCTACAGTAAACATTCTCTAATTATGGATTAATTAGGCTTAAAAAATTTATCTCGTAAATTAGCTTTCATTTATGTAATTAGTTTTGTAAGTAGTCTATATTTAATACTCTAAATTAGTGTCTAAATATAGGGACTAAAGTTAAGTCCCTGGATCCAAACACCACCTAACTATCAGTGTAGTTCGGGATGGGGACGAGCGGACGACACAACTCCTACCACTAAAAAGGGAGGGGCCATGGGTGTGTGCCATCCTTTCAGGGGTGGGCTCATCGACTGGGGCTGCCCCCCTTTAGTTAGGTTGAAAATATACGATTCTGCTCCTGGAGGGACCCACAAGTCCGTGGCTTAAATATAAGGATGTTGTGTAACTCCATTAGGTCATAATTGTAATTTTATTTTTGTAATTTGGGGCCTATCGTTAACGACAAAATTTGGTAAGATTCTTTAGTGGATTGGGTTAAGGAAAGAGCACAATCAACCGATGGAAACTTATCCATGAGACCAAGTTTATGAAAGAATCGTGAAGACTATGGCATGGCAGCATAATTCTATATATTGGTTAGGCTTAATTTAGTAGTTTCCTTTTATCTTTAGGAAAGTGTGTTTAGTGTCAGATAAGGACTTTATGTTTTTCTTTTGTCTTTAGGAAAGTTTTTAGGAAAGTTTCGTTCTTGTCCAATAAGCACTTATATCTACCCATAGGTATAAATATGTACACCCGGGGTCATTATAAACTATCTCACAGATCGTCATTATAAACTATCTCACAGATCAATACAACTACTCTTGACGCATCGTTACCAGCTTTATTGAGGTTTTTACTTATCATCTGACGGAACTTGGCACCTGACATGGGGCTGCATCGGCTTTTGATCTCCGGTGAAGGGTAAGTCCTACGTTCCGTCGGCCTAGGCAATTGTATCTGCTACGTTGGTGTTGTTCAAGGCTGCATCGCTTTGATCTCTTGCATCGCTCTGGTTTGGTTGATATATTTTCCTACCTATTTATTATATATCTTAGTTAATCTAGTTTGGTAGATCGATTTACTTGTATCGGCTGGGATCTGCTTTAGGGTTTTTGCCGGTATCGGCTAAATCGCTTTACTAGATTAGATTTGCTAATGTATCCACCACCGTGAAAATTAGTCAAATACTTGATTTTTTAGACTTCATGCTTCTTAAAATAGTTTGTAATGCATCATCCTTAGTCGTGCTATTAGAATCATAATGGCTAGCCTGTCTTTGATTATAATAAGGGTTTCATCGGGATTTCAGCCGATGAGTTATCTGGACATTGCATCGGCTTACTAGGATTGTATACAAGTTAGTTTTAGCCGATTGAAACAAAGGTTTCACTAATCATCTAATTGTGTGGATTTTATGACATCGAACCTCCAGCCGATGTATACTTTTAACCTTCGGATCAATATTTATTCTATCATACTAATTTTAGCCGATTAGTTTCTACTGGATTATATTATTGTTCTATTACATTATCATCAGCCGATTGTCTTTATATTGTTATCTACATTGGTCATATAACCGACATCTCAAAACCTTACGGCATCGGCTGGAACTACTCTATCGGCTTGTCAGCCGATCAGTTATTTGATCTGTTGTTTACATATCTTGTCAATTGCAGGATCAAACTGACTGGCACATCCGCATCTCATCAATTTTTGGACCTACACTGGAGCTAAGCATATCTCTCATGCCGTTGTGTTCATTGATTTAGTTTGCGCCAACACAGTTCCGGCACCATCGGCCGAACGCGAATTTTTCGTCAACACCTATATAAATAGGACGCATCCTCTGTTTGATTGGGGATTGGTATTTTTATGTCTAGTAAACTACACTTCACAACTCAGTTGTGTCTCCAATCAAGATCTTCACGTATAGTTTGTTGGTACATAATTTGTTCCCAGAACACTCGTTCCTTGGGCACTTCTACATATCACCATCCTTACTTCGACCATAAAACCAACACCCATTGTGTTGTAGGTTTCTAGGACTCTACACAGTGCATGTGAACACTTCAATTTCTTGGAATAAAAAATATGCAGTAGAAATGAGAGGCAACAGGAGAAGTAGTACTACTTCCTTGGTGGTGGGTGTTCTTCAGGAGCCGCTTGTGTTGCGGTTCTGGAGAAGTATCAATATCGATTTCAAGTAATTTTACCTTTCTACCAAATCTTTCTGGCCAAGGAACTAAGACGGTGTTTGATTGTGAAGGTTGGGAACCTTCCCCACCCGTCACGGAAAACAGAGAAGCTTATTAGCGCATGATTAATTAAGTATTAGCTAAAAAACCTTTAAAATGAATTAGTATGATTTTTTAAAATAAATTTCCCATAGTCTTTTTTGTTGCAAAAAATACAATTTAGCAGTTTGGGAAACATATGCGTGTGAAACAAGGGAGTGGAGGTTGGGAATATAAAGAAACAAACTCAGCCTAAGAGTACATGTGTACAAAAAAGTAGGAGGAAAAAAAAGAACCATGAACGAAGCAACTTACAGGAGCTGATAAGATTGTATTGAGTAAGGTCTTATCCGTGTGAACAAGATAACATATATAACAGAATAATAACCTTTGACGTTATCTCGTGCCCGCATCGCTGCTGAATTAGTACCTCACTCTGATAAGCTACAAGGTGTTGTATAATTATTTTCTTTCCAAGCTGATGTTTGTAAGTCTAAATAATGCTAAGTATATTCATCTTGACAGGTGGTTGTATGATGCCCCTTTCCATGCTGACTAACAACTTTAATCAACATTATAAGTACAAGGTCCTACGTCGCTACACACCTTTTTACCTTGCATCTGGCTGCCAAGTAAGCTGCATCCTATAATTTTCCAGTTGAAAAGTTTCTGATTTTGGGTGAAAATGTTTGCATATTGAATTGACTGTTGTTAATTTTTAGTTTTTTTAGTCTCTCTTTGAATTTGTTTGAAATTCCACCTGTAGAAAGTTTCTATATGTGCAAAGTTTATATATCCAAAAGTTCATATGTGCAAAGTTTGTACATGCAAAGTTTCTATCAGCAAAAAGTTTATACATGCAAAGTTTCTCCATAAATATTGGATTAAAAAAGCTTTATTAGTTCTACAAATTTGTGCTTAGTAAAACTTACAGAGCGAAAAATTATGGTTTAGGCTAGTTTTCAAGGTTAGTCGAAAGTTGAGAGAGGAGCACTATTCTTACACTTTGTTAACACAATTAGAGTTAATGAAGTTTATCAATTTTCAGAGAGTTCTTTGATTTGTGTTTTTGCCGATCTCGGCGGTTAAACCGGGAAGAACCCATGACATTGAGGCGATCGCCTGATTCAGGGGGTTGCGGTGGTGAGCTGGGCGGTCAGACTGATGACTAGGGAGCAGTCAGACCAGATAGCACTTGGCGGTCATGTTACAGAATAACTTTTAATTCCGTTAAAAGTTTTGCTTTTTGTATTTGTTTCTTGTGTCTCATATCTTATAAGTGGTATTAGAGTCACGTTTAGTCTTTTCGAGCTGAAAAAATATTCTTTCAACCCTTTTGTTTTCTCCCTTGATTTTTCTATCAAACGTTTTCTATCACACGTTTGATATCAAATCCATAATTCAAATTCAAATCATTTAGACTATGTGATAGAAACGTTCCACCGGTTTGGTTGTGAGGAAACATTCAAATTATTTTGTATATATTATCAAACTATTTCATGGGTATAGTAAACAGTTAGTCATTCATGAGTATGAAATAGAAAGCTTTTCAGAGGATAGGACTCAAACTTTTTGATAGGCCTAAATCTGGCTGAAGAAGAATGCTCATGACAGGCCTAAATGACCTGCGCAAGCCACTCATCTATCCTTCCAGCTCCATTATCTCAACCAGCCGAGCAGCAGTCCCCTTGTTCCCCTATTCCCTTGCATCCCCAAGCAGCTGCCAGTATGGCTGGTCGTGATGGTGATGGGAAGGACGGATGAATGCAGCGACAGCTGAGAGGAGAGGGGGGAGGGGGGAGTGACTAACGGTGTAGGTCGTGGCCGCCGCTGTTGCTGCTGACAATGATGAAGGCGTGATCGTATATGGGAATTAGCACCGGGCGATCACGTTGTTGCGCACGAGGGCATCGAAGGAAGACCAATCCATCCACTGGATTTCCAATGTTTTAGCCAATTTATCTTGAAGAGTCTCGTGTTACATCGGAATGTAGCACTGGATATTTTCGACTTCAATTCTTCACGGTTGTGTTGATCTTTCAACAATTAAATTTTGATATTTCTTGTGTGAGGCCGAAATGTTTCAACCGTGAATTCTCCAATGTTTCCTGATGGCGAAATATTTTCTCCCAGTGGTGAAAAAATGCTCAAATTTGGGGGAAAATATCGGGCACTCGATTTGTAGTTGTGCCCTAGGCTGAAAGTAAGGTTCTGTTCAAGATCCCTCTAGAGCAGATTGTTTGATAGACAAGTCATGCTGCCATGGTCGCAAATAGTATTACGCGTGCAGAGAACAGCACAACACACTTGCACATCATGTTGTGGAGAAAATTTCTTCTATGGCCCTAAAATTTTTAGCTGATCCTTTACATGCCCCTCAATTTTCTTTGCTCTCTTGTGTATACCAGAATTTTGATTTTAATCCCTTCCATATTCTTATCATCAATTGCCTGTTAATAGGTGCAAAAGAAGTTGGTTTTACCCTTAAATGTGCAAGGAATATATAGAAATTTGTTGAATCTATTGTTGGAAACGTACTAATTTGTTTCATGACACTATAATGTTCATATGTCTTTCAAATGAGAAGTATGATGCATAGAAATTATAATATATATTAAAAAGTATATGTAACATTTTTTAAATGGTAAACATTGTTTTGTACAGCATTCCTTATATAAGATATAAAACAAGGGGACTGATCCGTTGAAGTACCATCATAAAACTATGCTACATATAAATAAATAAAATGTATATTAACTACTTTTGTCATTATGTAAAAGTAAACTATGCCGTGAATAATACCTTGTACAGTGAAGTCATGAATATAATAGTCTTATAAAATTAACGTACAAATCCAACAATATACTCTACAAAATTCCATGTTTCTTTTATGCTAAGGGCGAAATGAACCTATTTATAGGAATTAACTGGTCAACTAATGGTCAACTAACAGAATGGGTATGAAATTGATCAAAACCAATTTTTTCAAGGGCATATAAGAGAGTAAACAAAACTCGGGGAGCATATAAGGGATTGCCTAAACTTTCATGGGCATTGAAAGCATTTCCTCCATTTTGTATGGACATGAGGGTGAGTTTTGTTCTCCTTCATATATATTTGCAGCACCAAACTAGTTATAAGTTCTAGTACAGCAAAATATTTTGGTAGGTTAGAGTTGCCTCAACTTTATTGATTTTGTAAAATAAAGCTGGATTCAAATCAGAATCCTGACAAACAATATTCAAAATAGGGTAGAGTTGCCTTAACTTTATTGATTTTGTAAAAGTTAGGATTCAAATCAGAATCCTGACCAGCAGTATTGAAGCTGGTATAAATAGTTCGCCTTTTATGTAGCTATGTGGTTGTCAAAATGGCGAATTGGAGGCGAAGACATCCTGGTCGAACCTTAGAGGATTACGACCGGTGCCACATCCAGCGCCGCGATGACATTGCCACACTTTGGTTAGACTTCGAAATGACTAATCGTCAAGTTGTTATCGCTTGACGTCAGTGTGTATTTCGCTTCCTTCCCCCTTAGAGTCGTGTACAGTATTGATGACGAATCGTGTTCGCGGGACTTAGTAGGGGCGGGGCAAAAATGTTCTGAAACGGATGATGTAATTTTTTGCTCCTTTGTATAACACGTATGTGCTTTTGCCCGATGGAGCTTGTGCGTGTTTTTATGTTTCTTTTCGCTATCATTGCATTTTGTAACTTGTACGTTCGGAAGGGCGAGGCGTGTCGGCCCCCTTGCATGTTAGCGAAAGGAATTCACATTGACTTTTCAGCCCTCATCATTCGCTCTCGACTTTTGGCATGTGCGTCCAGAAACGCTTCAGTATTTGCATAAGTCGAGTGTAGCGACGATCGATATGTTTTCCGAAAACGAGCTGTCGCGGTTTCAACGTTCGGCGAGCTGTGCTTCGGCCGATTCGTATCGCCCCCCTGGCGTTTTCGTCGATCAAACGTTTGCCTTGGGGTTTTTCCACGAAATATCATACACAAAAAAGGCGAAGACACCCATGAATTTTAAATGACTGAGCGTCAGTTTGCCATTGCCCAGCGTCGACGCAGCATAATCCCCGTTTTTCCTTCTTTACCGCTAATTTTTTTTTTGTATTGATCTAACAACAAGCGATGAAGAAGATGCTCAAGGGGGTAGTCCTTCGCCATTTGAGGACTGCTTTTGTTAATGAATCGGATGTAAAGTCCGAATGCCTTTTGGCGGGCAATGGAATTTATCAGTAACTTGTGCTTTTTGGCAAATAAATGGAGTGTGGTGCGTGTTACGGCTGTTCGGCTCGTACTTTGCCCTTTTTGCCTTTGGCACTGGTATTTTTAGGTACTTTGATCGTTTTGACCGTTGCCGGCTTTCGGTCTTTTTAGCACTTCGACCTTTTTAACTGTTACCGGCTTTCGGTCATTTCTTTAGTGCTACTAGGGTTTTGTCGTTTGTCCCTTTCGGCTGCCCCGTTTGTCTGCGGGTGTGCAACCGATGCGAACTTGATTTCAAGATTTAGCCCCTCGCACATTTTCTTGGACTTCTCGGAGTCAAACCGCTTGTTATTGCCGGTAATGAACTCTTTCGGCACACCGAATCGGCAGAAAATGTTTTTCCGAACAGATTTTTATACTAGTGCCGAAGGTACTGCCTTAGCCCATCGAAGGCGGCTTGACACTCAGGTGTCCAATTGAGTTTGCCGGCCCCTCGGAGCATCTTGAAAAATGATAAATCTCTTTCGGTTGCTCTTGGGAGCAACTCCTTAACACATTTTCGCCCCTAGTCCTTATCGCCGTACCTTGCTGGTACTGTGGCGAAAGGCATGGGTGTGGCGAAACCTGTTTGCCCGCAGCCCTTGGCGCCATACCTTATTGGTACTATGGCGAAGGGCATGGCGTGTGGCAAAAGCTGTTCACCCGCAGCCCTTGACGCTATACCTTATTGGTATTGTGGTGAAGGGCATGGGTATGGCGAAAGGCTCCAGAGGCTAGGGTGGCCTCATAGCCCCCGAGCTTGGAAGCAACATATTTTCGTCCCCAGCTCTTGTCGCCGTACCTTGCGGGTACTGTGGCGAAGGGTGTGGGTGTGGCGAAAGGCTCCAGAGGCTAGGGTGGCCTCGTAGCCCCCCAGCTTGGAAACAACTTATTTTCGCCCCCAGCCCTTGACGCCATACCTTATTGGTACTATGGCGAAGGGCGTCGATGGGCGAAACCAGTTCGCCCGCAGCCCTTGACGCCGTACCTCATTGGCACTATGGCAAAGGGTATGGCGTGTGGCGAAACCTCTTCGCCGCAGCCCTTGACGCCGTGCCATATTGGCACTATGGCGAAGGGCGTGGGTTGGCGAAACCTGTTCGCCCGTAGCCCTTGACGCCGTGCCTTATTGGTTCGATGGCGAAGGGTATGGCGTGTGGCAAAACCTCTTCGCCCGCAGCCCTTGACGCTGTGCCATATTGGCACTATGGCGACGGGCGTCGGTTGGCGAAACCTGTTCGCCCGCAGCCCTAGACGCCGTGCCTTATTGGCACTATGGCGAAGGGCGTGGGTGGACGAAACCTCTTCGCCCGAAACCCTTGACGCCGTACCTCATTGGTTCGATGGCAAAGGGCGTGGGTGGACGAAACCTCTTCGCCCGCAACCCTTGACGCCGTACCTCATTGGTTCGATGGCGAAGGGTATGGCGGGTTGGCGAAACCTGTTCGCCCGCAGCCCTTAACGCCGTGCCATATTGGCACTATGGCTAAGGTCGTGGGTTGGCGAAACCTGTTCGCCCGTAGCCCTTGAGGCCGTACCATATTGGTACTATGGCGAAGGGCGTGGGTGGGCGAAACCTTTTCGCCCGCAACCCTTGACGCCGTACCTCATTCGTACTATGGCGTAGGGTATGGCGTGTGGCGAAACCTCTTTGCCTGCAGCCCTTGACGCCGTGCCATATTGGCACTATGGTGAAGGGCGAGGGTTGGCGAAACCGTATCGCCCGCAACCCTTGACGCCGTGCCTTATTGGTACTATGGCGAACAGCGTGGCGTGTGGCGAAAGGTGTATAGAGGCTTGGGCGGCTTCATAGCCCCCCAGCTTGGACTTAACTCATTTTCGCCCCAGCCCATGTCGCCGTGTCGCGCGGGTACTGTGGCGAAGGGTGAGGGTGGGACGAAAGGCTCTAGAGGCTAGGGTGGCCTCGTAGGCCTCCCGCTTGGAAGCAACTTATTTTCGCCCCCAACCCTTGAGGCCATACCTTATTGGTACTATGGCGAAGGGTGTGGCGTGTGGCGAAACCTCTTCGCCCGCAAGCCCTTGACGCCGTACCTTATTGGTACTATGGCGAAGGACGTGGGTGTGGCGAAACCTGTTCGCCCGCAGCATTTGACGCCATACCATATTGGTACTATGGTGAAGGGCGTGGGTGGGCGAAACCTATTCGCCCGCAACCCTTGACGCCGTACCTCATTGGTACTATGGCATAGGGTATTGCGTGTGGCGAAACCTCTTCGCCCACAGCCCTTGACGCCGTGCCATATTGGCACTATGGCGAAGGGCGTGGGTTGGCGAAACATGTTCGCCCGCAGCCCTTGACGCTGTGCCTTATTGGTACTATGGCGAAGGGCGTGGCGTGTGGCGAAAGGTGTCCAGCGGCTTGGGCGGCTTCATAGCCCCCCAGCTTGGAAGCAACATATTTTCGCCCCCAACCCTTGACGCCATACCTTATTGGTACTATGGCGAAGGGTGTGGGTGGGCGAAACCTGTTCGCCCGCAACCCTTGACGCCGTACCTCATTGGTACTATGGCGAAGGGTATGGCGTGTGGCGAAGCCTCTTCGCCCGCAGCCCTTGACGCCGTGCCATATTGGCACTATGGCGAAGGGCGTGGGTTGGCGAAACATGTTCGCCCGCAGCCCTTGACGTTGTGCCTTATTGGTACTATGGCGAAGGGCGTTGCGTGTGGCGAAAGGTGTCCAGCGGCTTGGGCGGCTTCATAGCCCCCCAGCTTGGAAGCAACATATTTTCGCCCCCAACCCTTGACGCCATACCTTATTGGTACTATGGCGAAGGGTGTGGGTGGGCGAAACCTATTCGCCCGCAACCCTTTACGCCGTACCTCATTGGTACTATGGCGAAGGGTATGGCGTGTGGCGAAGCCTCTTCGCCCGCAGCCCTTAACGCCGTGCCATATTGGCATTATGGCGAAGGGCGTGGGTTGGGGAAACCTGTTCGCCCGCAACCCTTGATATCGTGCCTCATTGGCGCTATGGCGAAGGGCGTGGGTAGACGAAACTTCTTCGCCCGCAACCCTTGATGCCGTACCTCATTGGTACTATGGCGAAGGGCGTGGGTGGGCGAAACCTGTTCACCCGCAACCCTTGATGCCGTACCTCATTGGTACTATGGCGAAGGGTATGGCGTGTGGCGAAACCTCTTCGCCCGCAGCCCTTGACGCCGTGCCATATTGGCACTATGGCGAAGGGCGTGGGTTGGCGAAACCTGTTGGTCCGCAGCCTTTGATGCCGTGCCTTATTGGTACTATGG